ACTTGTAGATAATAATTAATAACACATGATTACATCCAACCAGTAGAGCCGACTCAAACAACCACACGGCTGAATCCAACGGGAGACCTACCCAGAAGTAGATTAGAAATTACACAAACTAACACAACTCACCCACAAACTACCCAACTAAACACAAGCTCCCACTAGTGAAGAATTCTCGCTCCTAATTAGGACAAAAGAAACTACAAAGCAAAAACTAATAGCTAGAATAACACCCTCCCCTCGGCCGGACAACTGAACCGATCCTCCACCCCTCAAACCAAAAGACGCTGTACCACCCAAGAAAACAGGAACAGGTCAACGACCCAACATACGGATATTGAAACTCCAACTCACGGCTAACAAGACCCGGACCCACAGACCCGACCCCCTCATGACAACCCGCCAGGTCAGCGCCAGGAGACCCGCGCCAATCTCCTCACCCCACACAAGGGTTAGTTTATTTTTGCTTGAATATCCAAATGCTTTTCCTCAAATTCGCAATTTTCTTTGTATTTTATCAGTCAACTTCTGTGCACAGGAAACATCTCTCTCGGGCCCATAACCATGGCTAACAAGTGCCCTCGGGCTTTTACACACCTTCAAAGCATTAGACATGCACTCGGCTCTCTTCATTATACACATTTTCCTTTCACGCGAATCAACTCTTGAATCCCGATACGTATTAGGCACCTTTGTCGAGCGTGGGACTGAGTCCATCAGATTACGGATCTTTTTTGCCATCTGCATCATTCCCAGTCTCTCTAAATCTTTGCACATTCTCACATATGTCAGATGCTGGGGAACAATCCCCCTACGGAACATGTCCTCAAACTCAAAAACCGCCTCATCATATCTATGCATTTTCCACAATAACTGGATCAACATTGTACTTGTGGCTAAATCCAAGTCAAGCCCGTGGGCCTGCATCTCCTTTATAATCTGTGCCGTTAAGTCCAATTTCCCTTCTTCGCACAACATTTTTATTAAAAGATGGTACGTGAGCCGATCGAGCTCATAACCAGATTTGATCAATTTATTGTATAAATTCAGGCCCGCTTCAGTTTTCCCAAATCTCGCAAAGCGCTTGAAGAAGTAGCTATAAGTTGTGGCACTCGGTAAAAACTTGTCGTCAATCATCATTTTAACCACCCGGCTGGCCCCCGCCATATCCCCCGATTTGCAGAAACCCTTCACCAGAGAATTATAAGTGGATATGGTGGGGCCAACTTCCAGAATCGAGAATCTCTCGAGCATTCCAAGTGCCTCTTTGAACCTCCCAGCTTCTCCTAATGCGTCGATTATTGAATTGTACACAATTGCATTTGGTTTAACTCCTTCTGTTTTCATTTCATTCAATAACCCCATTGCCATGTCAACACGGCCCGCTTGGCACAAGCCTTCAACTAAGGTTCCGTATGTTACCACTGTTGGTTTTACGTTTTCAACCTTCATCTGCTTCCAGAGGCGCTCGGCATTTTTAAGTTTTCTTGATCTGAACCATCCGTTTAGTAGTATGTTGTATATTTCAATAGATGGTGACCAGTTTGGATTTCTTGTTGCCTTGTAATTTTCACAATAGCGTGCGGCTACTCTAACGTTCCCTTCTGTGCATAAAGTGTCTAATAGGGTCTGGAGTAAATTATTTTCTGCCGCTGATAAATCTCGAAAAAGCTCCAGATCACAAGCGTATACGAATGTTCGAATGGCTGCTGAAGTGAGACCTGTTCCCGCAAAAAAACATATGCAAAGCAAATGCAAGATTACGGACCAAAAACAGAACCAATATGGCATACTGAATTTTAATGAACATATTGTGATATGAATAAATGTTCAAGATTTCACACATGATTATTACAATCAAGTTAAACCAGGCACAAAAGAAAAGGGAAAGAGAATCAACAATTATCCCTACAAGACCTGCCAAAAAATATTGTGTTGCTAGTAATGCGATTGAAATCTAATGTACAATTCCTGAAAGAGTACCTGCACGCGTATATCTCCTGATCATGATACGAAAAGTGTCGAGATCGGGCCTCTTGTTCGGGTCTCCATTGATTTGACCGAGGATTAGGGTCCAAGCTGAGTCGAACTCTCGAGCTCTGGCTAAAGAATTAACCATGGCATTGAAGACCGCAATGGAGAATTGGTAATCGGGCTGATTACGCGCCCAATTGAAAAGCGTGAACAAGGGTTTTGGAGTGGAATTAAAATGGTCAAAAATCTCGAGCAGAAGATTGGGGCTAGGATTGATTCGTGAAGCAGCTAAAGCCTCTTCCAGTTCCGAGTCGGCTCGCAGGGACGGGTTGGAAAGGATCTTAGAAATGTGAGTGAATTCCGGTGAGGCGGAGCTAGGGTTTTGAGTGGGCAGCGTAGGTGGCTGCGGAGGGTTTGGCTTCAGAAGTTGGGGAATTGGAATTGAGAAGGCTGGTTGCCTCGAGAGGGGCCTAAGACGATGGCCGACGACGGTGGCTAGAGGGAGAACGCGGCGGTGGACGTTCATTAGTGTGGCGGACCGCGGATGTGGGGAGTCGATAGAACTTTCCGGCGGTGGTTATGTATTTATTTATTTAATTTTTTACAAACAATATATATTTCTACTGATAAAACACATATTTACACCTAGAACTCACCCAAATAGCCGACTGAAGTAACTACATAGTCAAATCTAGTGGGAGGAGAGACTTGAGGTCGCCTAGACATTGACAACTCTCAAAAGGAGACTACTAAACTCTATAAGTGGAGAACGCTTAACTCCCACAAGTGGAGATAACAGATAAAAGAAACAAAATACACAAAAAAGTAACCTATAGATAGACTAAAACCCTCTCCACCAGCGACCAACCACCTCTGAAAACCCTCTAGCGAGCCGACACTTAAGGTAACTACCTAAGCTGTATCAAATCCCAATGAGGTTTTATAAACTCCCTAACCGACTAACTAGAACAAGACCAAAGGCGAGACCCTAGCCAAATGGCCACCAACAGACCGACACCAACAATACCACCCCTAGCTCGCCGGTGACCATAGCCCACCAGAGAGCCGCACTCGCCGACAACCCATAACGATCCAATACCAGGATCGAACAGGCGACGGAGAGGCAGAGCAACGGTCTTCAATCCCCAGCCAGCCTAGCCTGTCGTCACAAAGCCGCCCGCAAGCCGAAGCCTCCCCACCAGCCATGGCCATCCGCAACAACAAAGGAGGAAATCCATATGGGGTTGAAAACGGCAACCCGACAAGCGACTAGCGACCAACACTGGTTTCGATCCAGTCTTCGGCCCCCGCCAGAGAAAGGAAGAACCCCGCTAGGGAGAGGCGCGTGGGGATTCGTTGGAATAACCTCCTCAAAACATAAAATTGTTCAAATGACCCTTGACCTACACAAGTATAAAAAAATTAAGTAAAAACTCCATAAAATGGGAAAATACTTATGTACCCTTTTTTATTTTTGTCTCTCTCCAACCTTCTTCTTCTCGACATTTTCTCCCAAATTGCTCTTTCTCCTTCACTCTTTTGTATCTCTCTCGCCGGCTCCCCTCTCTCTCACCCTCTCTTCTTTCGTCTCTCCCCAACCTTTCATTCTTCCATTTTCATTTTTTCTTCTTCCTTATTCTCCCACGACCTCCTCTCTCGTTGTCTCTGGCGCCCAATCTCTATGGAGCTCGCTCTTCCCGTCAAAATCGATACAGGTTCGTTTTTTTTGGTTTTTGTCAATTTTTTATTTACTTAATTTCCTTTTGTTTGGGACTTTGATATTCGTGGAGCAAGGTTTTGATTGTGGTATGTGAATTCATATTATTTTGATAGTTTTGATGAAAGTGAAGATGGTAATAGGTGTTTGATGAAATGCTTGAAAGATTGAGTTGATAGTAATTGGGTATGCTAATTGTTGTATACTTTGAACCAATCAATATATTTAGTTTGAGTATTTGTATGATTTGTACCGTTTAACATGAACAACAAAAGTACCTTCGTTATGTAATGGATTATAACGAATGTACTTCCGATATTGTTTTATTTTCATCCCCGGTCGATGGAATACTTTGTTAGCCAAAATGGATAGGTCAATTGCATTGAGCCTGGCATAACGCATAAAAAAATATCTATTGATCGGGAGTTAGTGTACACGGGAGAGGTCAATTACACCTTGACTTCACTTTGCGATAGTTGAACGAATGAACTACAGAAAGACAGCTAGAATAGGAAAACGAAGCGAAGTCATAAGTAGTAGGGAGAGGAGAGAAACGATTACACCTTAGTTATATATTACAATATAATGAATGCACTGTCGTTGTAGTGTCGCAATACATATAACGAATAGGTTTATGCAGTTTTGAACTCCAAGTCTAAAATACCCAGTTGGGTTATATTAAAGGATTATGCCACTATTTTAAGTAGTTATTGCTTGTTTGATCTATTATGACTTATGTTGTCTTTCTTTCCTGTTTTTAGGAACCAAAAAGGAATATGCGTTTGAAATACCTTCCAAATGCAAAGCAAACGTGACCAATCGGTGCAACCTCAACGTTGTCAGAAAAGTATTTGACAATTTAAACGATGCACATCAAGATCGATTTGCAGAGTCTTGCTTCCGGCCACTAATAAATATTACCGAGATCATATTGTCCTCCCAAATAGTCCACCAAGTACTTCGTAGGACATTGAAAGCGTCCGAAGATGACAAAGATGCCGTGTGGTTCAGATTTGGGGAAAAAGAAGCTAGATTCGGGTTACAAGAGTTTTCTCTTGTAACTGGATTTAAGATTGCAGCGGATGATGAAAATGCGTACGAGGTCCCCAATAATAACAGTTCGCTTTTGCAACTGTTCAAGAAGAAGAAGGGGAAGATCAAACGCAGTGACTTACTCGAGAAATTTCTTACGCTGAAAAAAAAAGAAAGACGCGGAGACAAAGTACAAATTGGGACTCGTGATTGTCTTGGAGCATGTTGTTTTATCTTCAGAGTTGGAGACTCTAGTAGATGAAAGATGGTTTAACTTAGTTGAAGATTTAGAAAAATTCAACAGTTATCCTTGGGGCAACTTGTCGTATCAGCAGACTGTAAAGTTGTTCAAGCGGACCTCTTTCGGGAAGGGAAAAAATCCAGAGTCCATAAACTATTCTTTGCATGGATTTCCCCTGGCTATTATGGTATTTTTCATCTAAATATTTATGTTCTTTATTATTTATTTGTGTTAGTTGTATTTTTAATTATGCTCTCTTATTTGGTAAGCAGATTTGGGCATTTGAGGCGCTACCCGACTTAGGAAGAGAATTTGCCCAATTAAATACTGGTGTCCAACTTCCAAGAATGTACTGTTGGAAAATGGAGAAACAGTTGCGAGGCGAGCTGCTTACTACTTTTTTCGAGAGGGCGGAGGTAATTTTGGTTATAGATTATTCTTCTTATTTATTGTTATACTTATACTTTTAAAAAACTAATTATATTACAAGCAGATTCAAGTTCGACGAACATTGGAACCCTCTTCATATGAATGTGAGTCTTCGTATTTCAACGAATTGGGTATAATTGTCGAGGAAGAAGATAGTGGCCGTCATGATGAGGATGAAGAAGGCACTGCTACCAAAGATGAGGGAGAAGGCAGTGCATCTTCTAAAGGTGATGATGATGATGATGATGTGGATGATGAGGAAGAAGAAGAAGAAGAAGAAAAGGAAGGAAAAGAAGAAGAAGAAAAAGAAAATGCGTCTCAACCTGAAGATGCACCACAACCTCATGTTTTGGATGAAGAAAAGATCACAAATATAGTGAGGAAAGTGGTGAAGGACGAGGTGAGAAAAGTGGTGAAGGAGGAGATGAACAATTTGTTTGAGAGAATGAAGAATGAGCTTTTTGAAGCAAAAGATAAACCATCTAGCCGTGCTACTTATGATGTGCCAAATGATGATCCGGATGTTGAGGTGGAGAAAAATGTGCGGGATACGGAGACCGTTGAATGTGGTAAAGTTATTTTATTTAAATCAATGTACATGTTAATGTTATTACTCGATTATTAGTTAAAATAAATAGGACAAATTATTATAATATTTTTTGTAGTAAAAAATATATTTTAAAACAAATGCAACATATTATTGAATTATTTCATTATTTTTCTATTTCGCAGACACGATGAAATCACCATCTCCGAAGTCCGAGCAAGAAATGGCAGGACTTCATGGATTTGATACGGGTATGTAAAGTATAATTGTAACTACTACGTAATTTGATGATGTATTCTTGTAAATAAATAAGTATTGATTGTTTTTTTGCTTATTGTAGGTTTTGTGACCGACCCGTCATCAACCATTGTTGTGTACCAAGAGAGACAACCGCCGACACCAATCGAGATAGAGGACACCGTTGAAGATCTTGAGTCTCCTAAAGGGAGAGGGCACCGGAAGAAAAGAAAGACCGCCGTTCTATGTACTCCGTGGAGGAATATTGAAAAAAGGAAAAAAATTTCAACTGTGACGGAGTACGACCCTTATAGGCCAGTGGATCCAGCTAAACTTGAAGATCTCCAAACCTGGTTGTCGAGCTACCCTGAAAGGTATGTAGTTGTGTTAAGTTAATTGTGGGCTACTTATCGTAATATATAAGGTTTTATGTCTTTGTTTAAGCTATTAATTTTTTATGTAGTGCTGAAGTTGAGTTGTCCTTTGGTGGTGGTCGAGCACGTAAAGTTTTTTTTAATGAACTTGTGAGCGATGGATGGCTTACTAGTGTGGTAAACTATTTACAAAAAAAAAATTAATATTTTTACCTTTGAAAATTATGATATTCAATAATCTAATAAACATTATATTTTTAGCATGTAGATGAAGCGCTTTTTCACATTCGAGAGCGTGGTAAACAGTTCCCTCTCTTGTTTAGACAATATTGTGCTGTCTTGGACACGGTTTTTGTCTCGTACGTGAGAAAATTCTTCAAAGACATGTTGAAGACTAAAAATTTTCCGAAGGCCTTGCGTAGTTACGCCGCAGGGGGGATACCCAGTAATGGAAAGCCGTGGGCTGGTTGTACGAAATTGTATGTTCCTTTCTGCAAAGAGGGCGGTGGCCACTGGATCGCACTGGAGATTGATTTATCCCATAGATGCATTTACGTCTATGATAGCGAAACAAGTGTCATGCGGAGGGCAGAACTGGAGAGGCAACTTGAGCCCATTCGAGTTGTCGTACCGATGCTACTGGCACAGCTGAATGCCAATTACAGTGGTGAAAAGTTTGAGTACAAACGGTTGACATCTCCTAGCCAAAGCAATGGGTACGTATAATATATATTTTGATCATATTAGGTTTGTAAGTGTATTATGAAACTTGGTAAAGTAATAGAATTTGTACATTTATGTTGCAGGTTTGATTGTGGGATGTTTACTATCAAGTTTATAGAATTTTTGCATGCTGGGAAGAATGTTGAAGGCGTCGATCAATCTCGGATTAGTGATTGGCGTGTTAAACTAGCGTCTGAAATATTTGGTGCTCATTTTGATCCATAGTTTGTTTTAAACAGTCAATATGTAATGGGTTGTAGGGATCTTTTGGATAATACATTCTTGTATTATTTTTCATGTGTCTTTTGAAGTCAATAGTTTGTTTTTTGAAGTTGTATTTTTTATGTGCTTCCCAATGCAGTGGTTATAACAGTATTTTATCAAAATGGTTAAAAAATTATTAATGTAATAAATAACGAGGGGTTCGATGCCGAGCTCCCGAAATTAAATCGAGGAAACGACTACAAGTGTACATTCGTTATATTGTACAGGAATATAAATAAAACTTGAGTGTCGCGGGGCCAGTGTCGCGTCCGTGAGAAGCGTCGCGAGAGGGACAAATATTGTTTTCAATATAACGATTGTACATTAGTTATATTGTACAAAATAACGAATGTACATTCGTTAGTTAGTAAAACAACATATAACTTGAGAGTCCCGGACGCGACGTCCATCGCTTTCGCGACATGGAGGCCATCTTCTCTGTAGGACAAAAATAAGGCCGGTGTCGCGGCCGTGATACGTGTCGCGACAGCGACATATAATTTTTTCAATATAACGAGTGTATATTAGTTATATTGTACAAAATAACTAATGTACATTCGTTATTTTATGAACAAAAATATAACTTGATATCTCGCGAAAGCGACGAACGTCCCGGCCGCGATGAGGAGGCAACATTCTCTGTCTAACCGAAACAAGTGTCAATGTCGCGCCCGCGCCCCGCGTCGCGCCCGCGAGGGCCTGGCAACAGAGCTGTAAGCGTCTGTGTCGCGCCCGCGACAAGAGTCGCGCCCGGGACAACCTGGCAGCAGATCTGTAAGTGTTTGTGTCGCGTCCGCGACACGTGTCGCGCAGGCGACGACCTGGCAGTAGTTCTCTTTGTTATTTTCGACCTTGATCGTGATGGTTATTTTCACCTCGGTCGATTGTAAAGAAATCATTCTCGTTAGATTGCATTTTTTGAAATAACTAACGTGTTTCTTTTCTAAAATGGATAGGTAATGACAATAGTCGTGTCATTTTTGGTCGTATTTAATCAAAAAATAACCCTAACGAATTCAATCTCGTTGCATATTACATTATATAAAACTGGAAATCAAATCCACATTGCAATAGAAGAAATAACGCTTAAAATCCAAATGTTGATTCCAAAACACAAACGAAATCACAGATCAAAACCAAATGTCGATTCTAAAACACAAACCAAATCCAAACCAAATCCAAAAGATAAAACTAATATTATGAAGTCTGGAATAAAAGTCTTTGCCTAAAAACAACGCACTGTCACTGTGCATCATGTGCATCCGATGATGGAGGTGGAGGTGGAGGTGGAGGTGGAGATGGAGGTGGAGGGTAGAGTAGGCTGCTGCCTGAACTCAAGCGAACATCCCATTGCTGGAACTGGTCGCCCCATTGTTTCCACTGATCAAATTGTCGAGACTCCCATTGGGTCCAACGTTCATCGAGCCTCTTGGTGTGCTCCTCCCAACGCCTATCATTATGCTCAATAAAGGTATCGAGCCTCTTGTTGTGCTCCTCCCAACGCCTATCATTATGCTCAATGAATTTATCGAACCAAACGGGGGCTTGTTGAGATCGCGCGTCCGCAGCGCCCGCGTCAACTGCTGGAGGGAGGAAATAGTCCGCCGGGTTTGTATGTGTTTCTTCGTCCTCCGCCTCGTCCTCGGAATGAGACTGTGGCTGCGAGGAACCACGTTCTCCGGACGATTTCTTCAGCTCTGACAAATATGCCTTGTAGCAGTCACGATGTATGAAATCAATGATCGTGGTGCTGTCCTTAACGAGATACGCTTTCACCAAATCCCACAACACAATCTTCTTCGGTTGAAGCGGCACTTCATCAATTTGAACATTGAAGTGCTTAGCGAGCCCGGTGACGATATTGGCCAATCTCGGAGGGCGCGTGGCAAAGACTTTCGTGCCCCGGAGTGTCTCCATAACAAATGCAGTCATGCATATGGGCTTCTTTGTACACATTGCCCACAATAAATAAACTTCTTTCTCGCTAACCTTGTTGGAATCTTTCTTGCCAAAAACATTGTAGCATAGAAATTTATGTACAACCGCAATGGCCACATCTTTGATTAGCCCATTCGATGGGCCCTTGACTTTGAATTTATCGCATGGAGAGAGAGCGGCCCAAGGCTTGTCCACCTCAAAATCACCGGGTACTTTGCGAGACCCCGACATGCGAAAACCAAATACCTCATGCATCACCTTGTTATCAACCTTGTATTCATTACCTTTCATCCGGCAAGTGAAAAACTTGCCGTTGTCGCGTGGTACAAATGTGGTAAAGAATTCAACCGCTAGTTCCGTGCATGCCACATTGTCCATGGCTTCGTACTTCTCAAGATTGAGGGCCTTCAAGTATTTCCTCACGTCTTCCGAGATTTTTAGCGAGTCTAGCAACTCCCAATCAAGTGTCCGTGGGATCCGACATTTCATCTTCATGAGTCCTTTGTACGTGTGCACCTCATCTTGAGACAAAACTGGGAATGGAATGCCGTGAATTTGAGCCAAAGTTTGAGTTTCGGTATCCGAGTTCGAGTTGCTATTGTTCGAGTCCGGTGAAGGAGGCGGGGTTTCTACAAGTGCTTTTCTTTTGCCTCCGGCTTTGCCTTTTGCGGGACCTTTCGATGACGATGCCTTACCCATGCTTGGTTATTAGATACTCTCGACGGAAAATAGTGGATGCAAGCAATATAGCCCTCTTCCGTAGTTGTGGCAATTTGTCGAACACCTTGTGTGCGGAAATATGTGTTTGAGAATTGTTAATAAAGAAAGAGTTAGAATATTCCTCAAACCTCAAAAAATTAAAACCATACACTTCAAGCAATTAGAGTGACACCTTACCGTGCGGTGAAGTCGAGAAAATAACCTTGCCGTTGCCGGAATGGGATATCGGGTATTAGGGCTCTTTTGTGAAGACAACTTGGCCGGAATTTATGTTGCCGGAAAGATGGAGTGTCCTCGTCGGTCGAAGTAGATGGTCGGATGTGGTGTTGTCGCCGGTCGGAGTAGGTGGCCGAATGTGGAAGTTGGCGGATAGGTTTTTTTTTTTCTTCTTCTTAGGTCAAATTTATGAAGAGGGAATGGAGAATGAAAAAAAACAATTTTTCTCCTTATATAGTTTTTGCACATCCCGGTCGCGGCGTTTCTCGCGGACGCGACACACACGCGGACAGACAGGCTCCCAGGACGTCGCGGACGCGACACACGAGCCGGACAGACTTCCTCTCAGGACGTCACGGGAGCGACAGACATCGCGGTCGCGACAGACCAAAAAAAAAACTTTATTTCAAAAAGAGTTTCTTATGATTATTTCGGCGCTCTAACGGGTCCAAACTAACGTTAAATGGTGATATATGACCAACAAAAATGTTATAGTTGTGTCTTAAAAAAAAAACCGTAAAGAAAGCGCGGTTTGGTCGAAAAACCACTATAACGAATGTTCATTAGTTATAACTGATGTACATTAGTTATAGTTGTTTTTCGTAACAAATGCGCCTTACACGACCGTGCGTCCGTCATATAACACGTTATAAAGATGTTAAGATCGTTATTGGTCTCATTTTATT